TATTGCCTAGAGATTAACCATCTGAATCTAACATCCACAACAGTGTCTGACAAAGTAAATGTCTGTTGAATAAATCAATGATGCATTTTCTAAAAGCTCTGTAGTGGGATCAGATTTTCAACATTTTATTTTCTTTCTTGCTCATCAATTTCTAGCTAGCTCTTTTAATAGTGTTTAAGGAATGACTATCTAGTCAGTGTATTTACAAAACACATTTGTAATGTAGTGCGGTATGTGTCCTAGCTCTACTCACAAATTATAATGAAATTGTCATAAGTAGCAGTCATAATTGTGTTGATAGTATTAACCACACATACAATCATCATCACCGATGTAAGTGTTCTAGAAACTACATCTCTTCTCAGAATTGCTTAATTTGCTAACAAAGACCTCAGTGTATCCATTCTATAGATAAAGAACAGAAAAACAGACGCTCATATGACTTGTAACAATTTTTAAAGTCTCATTGAGAGGGCCTCCCCTGGTGGCGCAGGCAGTTCAGGGCAGCACCGTGAAGCTGTCCGCAGCCTCTGCAGCATGGGTTCTATCCCAGCCTGCTGGCAAAAATCCCACATGCCATGGCAGACCTCTCCTGCCTTGCCTGCTACTCCCCTCAGCAGTGTGTTTCAGTCAGTCTGCTGCTCTGTTCCTTGCTCTGTCTCTGGTGAATCCTCTTACCCTCCCGCGCATCTGACCTGTATCCCAGTTCTTGTATGTATGAATAAATAAATCTTTAAAAAAAAAAAGTCTCATTGAGAAATTCAAAAGCAACTGACATGTAGAAATATTTGCTGTGTAGTGGTATTTAAACTCGGGTTAGTTAAATCAATAGGGCATATGAAAGCTTTGATGTAGAAATTAGGTAAATAATTTAAGTCTTTCTAAAAGGGAGCAATACACATATGGAAGACATTATGAGGAAAGGCACATTAGCTGAAAGTCTGTTAAGTTTAAGGGGAAGAAAAGACATACAGTATTTGTTCAGGAGAAAACAAATATTGCTGGTTTATCTCTGAGCTACCAATTAACATGGTACTGTTATTTGTGGTATTGAATCTAATTTGTTTCATTCTGTTTCTACCCAATTATGAAGTCAAATCTTTTGAGTATAAAGGTATATAACTGATACTAAGCAGATTAAACACTTGTTGGCTGCTACTTGCTTAGGTTCTTGGGAATATGCAGGTGGGTGAAGCTCTCTTTTAACAAAATTAAAACAAGTATATTGGACCATGTATATTTTATTTTTAATACTGAATTATTTTTTGTGCTGAGGTAATAGTGGTCTACAGCACTTTATAATTCAGAGGTATAGGTCTACACACTTTTTCAGATGTTTGTCACTGCTGCCACCAAAGCACATATAATCCTTTAGCATAGTCTGCTGGTGCCCTGGCCTCTGGTTCATTATTAAAATGTTTAGTTTTATCACTCAAATCTGTATCTGATAATTATGCATTCTTGACTTTAGTCATCTAGAATCCTACAAGTCATGTGTTTAAGTAATTCAAAATACAATGAATCCTGGAAATCCAAGAACAAGCCCTGTACTATACCATTAGTGCGGGCTTCCTAGGCAGAGGGGGATGTTCCATTTATAACTCTCATTTGTTTCCTACAATTGTGGCCAAGTTTCCACTTATTATATGTCTCCTTGCCTTAATATTAATTTCCAGTTTGGAGCACTGTAAACTCTCTCAACCCCTAAATTAAAGCAAATGGTATCCACTCCACATCCACCATCAATTTTAATAGAAACCACTTCAAAGATTCCATTTTTAAAAACAAAGTATCACCACTGCTTCCTGAATTCAAGGTTAGCCCTTTCATAATCAAGTGGGACATTCTCTGATTTCCCCTTTATTTAAACACCGGCAGTTTTTTCCAAGGCATTTTATTTCCTTCACTAAAGGTACACCTATTCTTTTGTTGTTACTGCTGGTATTGGGGAGGGGAATAAGAAAAGGGCAGCACTTACTTGGGGCAGGGTATGTGTGTTGCTATGCCAGTGCTACATTCAGCTTTCTTTCTTTTTTTTTTTTTTAAGATTATTTATGCATACAAGAACTGGGATACAGGCCAGAGGTGCAGGGGGTGAGAGGACTCACCAGAGACAGAGTGGGGAACAGAACAGGCAGACTGACTGAAATACACTGCTGAGGGGAGCAGCAGGCGAGACAGGAGGTCTGCTGTGCCATGTGGGTAACTTCTTGGCTAGCTGGGCAAAGAACTTGAGCTCCAGGCCTCCCCTGGTGGCGCAGTGGTTGAGCGCTGGGCTGCGAAGCTGCCCGCAGCCTCTGCAGCGCCAATTCGATCCCCGGCCACTGGCGAGGGTCCCACATGGCGCACAGACCTCTCCTGCTGCCCGCTGCTCCCCTCAGCAGTGTACTTCGTCTGTCTGTTCTGTTCCCCGCTCTGGTGAATTCTCTCACCTTCCTGCACTTCTGACTGTACCCAGTGCTTGTGTAAATAAATAAATCTTTAAAAAAAAAAAAAAAAAACTTGAGTTCCTTCTGCAGAGGCTACAGATGGCTTCACAGTGCTGTGCGTAACCCTGTGTCACCAGAGAGGCCCCACATTCAGCTTTCTTGAGGAACATAAAAGTCCCCAAACTTTTAAAGTTTACTTCACTTACACATTTTCAGAGAGAGCGAGAGCAATATAATATATTTCTTTCTTATGTTCTTCTGTCAAATAGTTTATCAAGCTATATGAAAGTGGAAGGCAGTAAAGACAAAAAACTATACACCTCCAACTTCAGCTTCCTTAGCAATCTGCTTTTTGACCATTTTCTCAATCATTCCTTATACTAACCTCACAGGCTTCATGTCGCTTATTATATAAGCCGCTGTTACCCTCTTTTCCACCTACTTAACTCTGTGACTATAAATTGAGCTCCAGGGCAATATAATATGAAGTTGGAAGTACATTATTGTTTTTCCAGGCTCCCTGCTTCCCTCCTGCCCTCCCACCTCCCATATAGGGAGCAAGCTAGTGCACGTAGTAAAAGAATAGAAACCACAGTTACAACTACATACAGACTCACTTCCTAGTAACTACCAATGGAGGTGCTGAAGAGTATCCCATACACACCAGATACTTCAGTTTCAATTGAAGATGTGTTCGTTCAAAATAATTTATCTACTTGGCAAGTGAATCTGAACCCACATGAGGGTCAATAAAAGGTTATGAAATGTGAAGGGAGACTATATTTCTCCTCTATTACCAAGGCCGTGAGAATGAATATTTTTCCTGTTCCTTTTGAGGTTGAAGTTTTGCTGAGTCACCATTTGGCTGAGGCTATGGAATTTTGGGGGATCTGAGTCTTATACATGTTCTCATCCATATCTCCCATTTTGCTTCAGCTTAATGGTGTTTCCTGCCCCCAGTATGGTTATGACAGGAGGGCACAACTCCAGGATTTCAGTCCTCACCTCTCTGTAAAGAGACTATGCAATTTAACTAATTCAGCAAATGTTACACGATTTACTTTCGCCTCTGAACATACGAGTTTCCACCCAGTTCTTACAACACGATCCTCCCCACTCCCAAGGCCTTTTGCCCAAACAGTGTTTCATCTACTTGAACTGTTTATTCTGTAGGAATTCTGTATTCTTTAATCTTTTCATGAGTACATGCACACATCTACTGGAGTTACTTCTTTCTCATTCCTTAGAGCTGATTTTAAGCAGTATTTTCTCAGCTAGGCCTTCCTTAACCCTAAAGTCACAATGGGAATAAACAATCTTTGCACTTTGAGCATTTTCAAAAAGCCAGGCCGAGTCCAGAAGGAGAGTTATGGGTTCCCGGGTTTTGTGCCTTATTCAAAAGAATTAAACTATCATTCAGTATAAAGGCTACACTAATGAAATATAACTCAAAGTGTTACCATAGAGAGGAGAGATGGAGGGTGAGGGACCAAGGAAGGGAAAAGGAGAAAGACACTCTTTCAGGAACTTGCTGGTGAGGAACACTTAATAAGTTACAGTTGTAGCAGAACACAAAATCCTGAAGCAATGCCTAGTTCTCTATTGTTTTAGAAACTAGAATACCTAGGGAAGGAAAATTGTAAAAATTCCCACGCCCAAAAGTCCATGGGATGTAATTTTCTCTTGTCTCTAATTCAATACAATGTTCCTTGCCTGCTTCCAGAGGATAAATGAGGATCTATGCACATATGTTACAAAGTCAAAGTAAGCCCTAGTGGGGCTTGATCTTCACACTGCTTTTTAACGTTTGCCAAGCAATCCAATACTTTAAGACTGTGACATTAAGCTTTACATATTGATTTTCAGCATCACTTAAAACTTTCATAGTCTTATCTTTAGCTGTCAAAATACTGAGTTCTAAGAATACCAAATGAATCTATTTTTAGCTGAGCTTAAGAAACTAACATCAATCTGAAATAACAGCCTTAAATATCTATTTCAAATAAATACATTCAAAATAAGTTATTCAAATTTAGTTAGTAACTGTTAATACTCTAACTTTTTAGATTGTTTCATTTTGATCATCAAACAATATACTTCATTAAAAAATGGGGTCTTTCAAAGATGTGCTTACCAACATCAGGGAAATATCTTAAACAAGTACCCTATATTTTAGCATCAAATTTCATCATCGAGCACCGAATTATCAAAAAGTGCATTAATTACATGATTGCGACAGTACAGTCTACTCTGTGTTTTTAACTCCTCAAAATGCCATGACATTTGAGTCCATTAAATTCTATGGTTGAGAGCACATGGGACTTGAAAAATCAGATAGAATGAAAAAAAAAAGATTAGTATTTTAAAAAGAACCAATTCAGGGATTTTATCAAAAACAAATTAACATTAATAAGAGACATTACTTTCCTAAAAATTTGTGCAATTTACAAATGTTTCCTGAGTGTCATGTGGCAGGCACCATTGAGATATTCATAGTAATTTATAAATATCTCACTAAAATTTTAACATACTTAGATTATAAATAAGGATACACACAATAATACAGAATACCTGAAGGGCCGTTAGGATATTTGCTAAGGCTTGTCCATATGTGTCATGACAGTGAACAGCAAGGGCACTTGGTGGGATTTCTTTCATGACACTTTCCAACATTTTCTTCATGCTTCCTGGAGTCCCCACTCCAATTGTGTCTCCCAGGGAAATCTCATAACAGCCCATGCCATACAATCTCTTAGACACCTGTTGGGAAAGGTGAAGTGCTAGTAAAACAATGGAAAGGAACAGACAAACCCTTTCGTAAAGGCAAAAAAAACACAACTAAGATGACATATCCGTGGTCAACACATAGTTGAGTTTTTTGGTCCTTTTCCATGCTCCTTAAATCCTAAGCATTATATAAAACATTGGAATGATGGTACTGTACTTAATGCTTTCCAATATTCAAATTTGCCTGAGTCATATATGTGTGTGTGTGTGTTCATTGATGGAATAATAAGGTACAATTTCAATTATGGGAGTTTTACTTTTTTCTCAACCCTTAAACAGAAGCATTACACTTCTACTTTGGAAGCAGTGTTTCTCAAGGCTTTAGATTAGGGGTTAAAAGTGTCTCAGCTCTATCACTAAGTAGTTTTGTAATTTGTAGAGTCCCTTAATATTTCCAGCTTAATTTTTACTGATTCAAAGTAGATATTTATGTGAGATACAATGCAAGGTCCCCTCAAGCTGAATAGTTAATGTAATTTTCAAAAAAACAAAGTGAATTTGTATGACAGTATGTTGACAAAAACATGGATTCTAGAATCAGACAAGTATGAATTTACATCATGAAAATGAAACAAGAATGTATATTAAAAAAACACTATACAAAACTTGACACATGGTCACTCATAAATTCATTCATTACATATTTCGTCAGTACCAATTTTATGCCAGGTACTATGCTGGGAACACAAATATTGAGACAGCTTATCTATTTACGAAGCCTGAAGTCTAGTGAGGACAGACATTAACCATTTCAAATCTAATTTGTGTAAACAGAAAGTATAAGAATAATTCTGGAACAAAGACACAGGGTTTTAAGAGCATGTAGGAAAAGAAATGGACTTAAATCTGTCAAACAGAAAAATATCAAGTGACAGCTTCAGATAAAGTAAGCATTAACTTGTTGAAAGGTGCAAGATGGAAGGATATAAGAATGGTTCGAAGAGGAATGTCAAATGCAAAAGTTGGTGTATTCCATGCAGATGAAATATAAAACTCAAAGAATATTCCAGGCAAGAGAAAAGTCAAACACAAAGGGCAGTGTCACATAAAAGAAAAAACAATGGGGAATGAAGCCATATAAAGCTGGAAATATAGGCATAGGGAAGCCCATAAAGAGCCTTGCACACCAACCAAGTTTAGTATTTTGGTTAAGGATTTTATCACAAGAGTAGTAGAAAGCCACAATACAATTTGAAGTAATATAATCAACTTATGTTTCAGAAAGGCAATAACAATATCTTAAAGCAGTTTGGAGGGTCCTCAGAAAGGGCTGCCTAGTTCTAATAGGAGACTATTATTAGTTGGAGACTTGATAATGAAAGTATAAAGCCCACTCTTTTCTACTGCACATTGCATACTAGAATTCCCTAATTGAAAGGTAGCAGAGAATGAGGCTTCAAAGAAGAAACTGAACTAGTTGGAGGAAATCCAGAAGTGTGGTATCAAGGGTAAATTCAAGGTTCAGGAAGGAGGGAATTGTCGACAATCCCAGATTTTGCTGAGAGGTCAAAAATATTTAATATGATCTTGCATTTCTTTGTACAAGTGCTAAGTAGTGATCTTATAAAGAGTAATTTCAGTAGACAGAATGGTCCAGATGTCATTCTGAAGTATGACAAGGAGCTGGTATTACATGAGGAAATGGAAACCTCTGTAGTCAGTCTTTTGAAGAAGTTGTAGAAGGATGGACATGGTCAATAAATAGAAAGGGAAGCTGAATTAAGAAAGAATTTTTCAGGTGGAAGAGATCTGAACTTGTTCAGGAGTCAATGGGGAGGATTACACACACACACACGCACGCAAAAGAGAGGAAGGACTAGAGAACTGAACAGAGTGAACAGTTTGAAACAGTCATTCTAGAGAGTAGAGAAGGTGTTGATCACATAATGTGTTAGAACAGTACAGAAGATTGTTGGTGTGAATTTCTAATGTTTCCAATCTGCTTGTTTCATGCTTCTGCTCAGCAATTCCTCAGGCATCCGGGGCAGGCATAGAGTTTGAACATGGTCTGTCCAGAGAAAGCAGAAGGCATAAAACCCAAAAAAAGCAAGGGCACTCTAGTTAATAGGCAATGTTAGATTCAGGTTTTACGGAGCCTGAAGTTATGCATTTTGGAAGAGTTCCTTAAGAAAAGAATATGCAATTGTGAATATCTATTAATAACAGTCTAGATGTGGCCCATGTGAGTGAAGTACTAGAAAAGTTAAGCTTCATTTTTATAGTATATTTACCTCTGTATGTAAAGGTCTTGCTTAAATAAGACTATGGAATAGCTCTCATTTGAAAAATCTGCAGTAATTTTCAGAAGTTGAAAAGTTAAAAAAAAGATTAAAAGTTTATCATACATACATTTGTATTTTCTAACAATGCCACCTTCTCTGCTTTAGTATCATATTGTAAATTTATCAAAATTAACACTTACTACAGGTGTGCATTATATACTTCCTATACAAATAAGTTTCTGAGACAGTCTAATATAACCTCAAAGATATCATTTTGTATTTGTTAGTAATAAACAGAAACTGGAAACAGAAAAACTTCAGTAAGCAATTCTAAACCACTACACAGACATGCATCACTCAAGATGGGGTTATGTTCCAAGAAATGTATCCTTTGGTGACTTACTTGTGCAGTTACTAGAGTGTAATTACACAACTCTAGGTGGTGAAACCTACTACACACATAGGCTGTACACTGTATGGTATGGTCTATTGGCACCACAGTCATTGTATATGGGATCTGTCTTTGAAACATTAAGCTACGTATGACTATAATCTGTTGCTATAAAATTGCTTGGAATAGCAGTGGTAGTAAATGTATTATATTCAGAGGAGCAAAACGAAGGAATGTTACTTACGCAGCCAAGGCAAAGTTTAAGTGTATATGCACAAACTTCCCTGACATTCCGACAGAAAGAGCTTCTATCTACACAGAACCCAAACAGCTGCTTTTGTTGCCTTCATGTTGGAGCACCCAAAATAAGACACATACGTTATTTAACTTTCAAAGGAGTGTGTCCTGTAGTGTCTGCAGGATTAAAATAAACCTATTAAATTATCAAACCTGTCTTCAGAGAGAAATAAGGGATTTCCTATTGTACAGTAAAGAGTAAGGAAAATGATCACTTACTAAGATAATATACATCATTTTACCATGAACCAGAAAACTGAGGTATATCTTACTTCTGTCACTTTTTGTGGTGTGATGCTTCCTTCATATGGACAGCCCAGGGCACAAGACACATACCTAAATGCAAAATACAGAGCCATATAAATATGTGAATGATAGATGAGCCAATTTGTAGCTTTTATTGTAGAAAAAGGAATAGGCAAAAATGCACCAAGAAAGTTTTTGACGCCTTCATTATTTTCAGATCAAACAGAAACAATTTTGGAGCACTTTAAGCTTAAATCACATTTTCATCTTTCTAATTATGATGTAATATATTCTATTTGCTGTTGGATAGGGATAAGAGAACATGAATTTCTTATGTGGTTGTTTATATGTGTAGCAACAGATAAACTTCCAAAGCATGTCAATGAACTATGTGTTTTATTTAAATGAGTAAATCTATTCAATCGTTAAAGATCTAGGTCTTTGGTATCATATATATGTATAGAGTAACAGATGTCCAACTGAATTTCTCTCTTCATCCCATCTGGATGTTTTGGCCTTATTTAGATATAGTCATTAATCACCCCCAAAAACTCCTACAACAATCCATCACCTTAAATTTCATCTTGTTTATCTCTCAGGGGTTTACCTAAATCATTCCAAACAGAATAGTGTCTAGTCTTTTTAAAAGGGTCCAAATATAGATATTCCATAAGCTTCTTTAATATAAAAAGTTAAGTTTTTCCTGCAATGACAATGATACATTTATATCTTAAACTAGTACACTTTAGGAAAAGCCCATTTTAGCTATTTTCAGCTCATTGCCTATCCCTTTTATTAAACTTTCCTCAGAGATTTTATGACATTTGTATTAAAATAATGAATCATGTATCTGATTGTCAGGAATTAGGCAATTCTCATGAGGATGAAAGGGGTGGTCAGGAAAGAAGCTAGAGATACCTTTATTTGGGCCAGAATATTAAAGATTTTAGATAGAAGGCACTCAAAATACTAGGTAGTTAATGACAAGGTTTTTTTGTCTTACAGAGAAGTGTGGGTAAACCCATGAGAGAAGACAATACTGTATTTCTTCATTCTAGTACACTGAATTTCATAACAGGTTTAGAGTAAAAAAAAAAATGTACCTTCAGTGATTCAACACATATCCATTGGCTTGAAATACGTAGCCTAATATCAGAAGCATTAAACTGAATAAAAGTTATGTTTTGATATTAAACTAAATAGTTATACAATAACAGGGAAGGATAGAGGGCAAATACATGTAAAATTTTAAAGTTGGATGGACAGGAAACCCATCTCTCTGCTCTTCCTACTGTAATAATATTATTTACTGATCGATGTGAACACAACACTGGAGAAGGTGATGAGGATGAAACAGGGAACATAATCTATCCTGAACCCAAAAATAATATATGTAATTAAATAGAAAATTCAAACTATCCGTTTACATGTTCTCCCTTTAAATGTGAGACGCAAAACAAGCAAAAACAACAACAAATATAAAATCAAGCAAATATACCTTCCCTGTATTCTTATTATTTAGCCACAACTTATGCCACAATGCCCTTTGTGCTTGTGTTTTCATTCATTCATGTTTTGCCTTTGATTCCTTCCTAGGTCTATAATTTGCCAGGTCTTCAGACTCCAATCTTCTATGACTCCTTTCCATCATTGTAACTGTTTACCTCAAACTATTACTACTCACACATGGGGCTACTTTCTTCCAAAGCAAATGTGGTGATTCTCAACTATGTTCTTTACCTGAACTTCTAAAGCACAGGTTGGTAGACCAAGCTCTACACACCAAATTCTGTTCACCTTTCTTTTGTAAATAAACTCTTAACTGGAATACAGCCATGCCCATCTGTTTACCTACTATTAGTGGCTGGTGACAGGAACATTGAGTAGCTGCAATACAAACAACCCTATCCACGAAACCTAAAATGTTACTATCTGGCCCTTTATTGAAAAGGTTTACTAACCCTTGGTAAAAACTGAGAACACATTTATTCATTATGAAAATAAGTTAAATTTTCTGTTTTGACACATTGCTAAAGTCAGTTTCTGGACATGAGTGTTTCTCTAATAATCTATTTGAATGGCTCTCAATATCCGTTGTACAGAAACATGAAGGAGCTTAACCAAAACAAAACACTGTTAGTTAGGAATATTCCAAACCAATCAGAAACTCAGAATATAATTTAAAATAACCTTATAAGTTCCATTTTGCCAAAAATAAAATCAAAAACAAAAAAAAAAGCACTCAACTATTAGCAAAACTGTCTCACTTGGAGTACCTGATTGATTCCCTTATCTGAAACAGGATATTATACAGATCTCTAATAATATCTCAGGATTTTTTTTTTTTTTGCTATTATGCTATAGCATTTTTATCCATCTTTCATTAGCTGGTGGCTAAATTTCTCACAGGCCCAGGCAAACAGTTTCTACTCTGCTAAGAACCCAAACTTCAACCTTTCATGTCCTTTTTCATTTTTCCATACTTCTGTTTCAATTTTCTTTTTACTGAACTGTTTTCTTTCGTACTTCTTTCAGCAAAGGTAGAATGAGACAGACTGTTTGTGTCAGCAAATGATTTTATTTCACCTTCATTGTGTAATAGTTGGCTAGGTAGAGAATTCTAGGTTGGCATTTTAGCATTTTGAACACCTTTCTTTTCCGCTAGCTCTGTTTCCTTTTCTGCTTACCTTGTCCTGATTTTTCTTAGGGTACTTTTTCCTAGGGTACTTTGTTACCTTCTGTGGATTATAACTTTTACCATAGGTGCCTTTTGGTTTATATACAAGTTCTTTGAGAGCCTTGAGTTATTTAAATGTCTCTATAAGGAATATCTGACTTCCTTTATCCTTTGCTATGTACATTTTACCAGTTCTTGCAGTAAATTTATACCTTTATTTTTCAATTTAGGTTTCCAGTGTATTTGTGTGTCATAAATCTACAACACATAACTATAACTGAGATGGTTCTAGTTACTTTGCATTGGCAAGGAGGGCCTAACAGGCTTCAGAATTCTTAGTTATGAATTCATGTTATAGCAGAACATCTATGTTTTCCCACATAAATAAATTCCATTTTCAAGTTACTAGAGAATATATCTGAGATAGGTACCGCTATGTGACACTGTGCATGCTCGCCATATTATTTTTAATGAAACATGGGAACTTTTCTTAGTTTGGCAATGTTTTAAAAGTTATTATATTGAATGTTTGTAATGGAAACAGAAAAAAATCTGTGTGGCAGCTCTGTCCCTATAGTCTCTTTCAACCTTATACAGATAACTCTAGAAACAACTCCAAAGCTCTCTGTGCACATTATAATTTGTTTGATACATTCACATGGTATATTAAGCTTAATATATCCAAAATGGTACTCATTCCATACTTGCATTAACCTATAGTCCTACATTTGTCACTTAAAAAAATGATATAGTAATTCTAAGCATCTGTCTTAGTAAGTTATTATCCTAGTTAGTCATCTTTGAGAACAAATTCAATAACCAAGGTTGACTGAGTCTTCCACTCCACCATCTAAAGCACATAATCTCTGCTAGAACCAGCCTGAGTGTGCAAAGCTGTCCCTGAATCCCCCTCCAGGGCAGTTTCAGGTATCTCCTATGTGTTCCCCTAGCCTCTAGTCTCATGGCCCTCATTTTTACTCCAGTCTACTGCCAAAACAACATTCTTAGAACATAAATTTGATTACATATTTTATCACTTTGAAAATCTTTATGGCTTGCCATTATCTACCAAATAAACTTGGTGCTCATGTTCAACAGCTTATGAAGCCTCATTCTAACTTTCTACCTTTCCTCTGTTACGCAGCCTCAAAACATTCTATTCCAATGAAGGGATTCTCTTCCTATGACCAAAACGTTTCTTGAGATTTCTCTTCATTATGCCTTTCTTTTCTGTACATTCCTCCCTTACCTAAAAATTCAATTATTTCTAATAATATTACCACATATTTACCGACTTTATTTTATAGCACTTTCTCCATGAAGTTTCTCTAAATAGCTCACAATGGTTTTTAACATAATGTTTCTTTAAACTTTGGTAGGCTTTATCACAAGATAGCATATAGAAAACATGTAACATTTCCTAGTGCATAAATGTTAGCTAATATTTTCACATTCTAAATAATTTTCGATGAAATTCCTAATCATTATAATGAACATACAGCTAAATCTGGGATGTGTATGTTCTAATTCAGTCAGTCAGATATGATAGAATTTTGGGAACTTAGAAGCATATTTTAAACATTATTTAGGATGACAGAGTAATAGTATAACCACTGACCATGTTGAGGCTGTTTAACAATATCATACATAAACATGAGAAAGCCTAAACTAAAGCATTCAAGTCTTCAACAAAAGGAACGTACAGTTTAGGTAACATCCTAGCCTAACTTCCTACAATTATCCCATGTCCCGCCAATCATTTTGTCAAAAAGAATTGAAGAGTAAAAGCCTTGCCTAAATGTCACAAACACTTGGAGTAGAATCAAACATTGTTATCGTCAAGAGAAAAGAGTGATGAAATCAGAAATTATGATAATTAAACTAATTTAAGAATTTAAATATAGAAGTTGCATTGATGTACTGTTGCAGTATCCATCAACTTATAAGCAACATCAAATAGCATCACACTATTAATAAACCAACCAAAAATAAATTTTGGAGCCTATTTATAGATACATATATATAATATGCATATAAATAATATATATAATATTTATGTTATTTATATGTAACTGCACATGATGTAAGAAAAGATGGTTTCTTGGTCTCAATCACCAATTCTGCTTTCATTTTGCTCTAGACAATTTGATCAAAAATGATAAAACACAATCTTTACCTAGAAGTTCTACAGGAAGGCAGTTTATACATCACTGCAAAAATTGCTTACATGTATTAACTATTGTTGAATATATGTTATTCTGGCACACAGAAGTACTGGAGTAATACATAAGGCTAAAAATGGTATAGACCATCAAATACACCATACATAGGAAAGAAAATAGCTCTAACAGATGTTTCATATACCATATCTTGGTAAATGATGATTTGAATTATTCCTCCAGGCCAATACAAAGGACTGGATTGAACAACAGAGGTTGGAAAGGAACTTGACAATATGTTGCTTACTTATAAGACAGTGATATGCAAGTGAATCCCATTGGGGTAGATCATCCAGTGGAGGAACACTTACAACATCAGTCATGAGAAAGACCACCTGCCAGTCACTATGTATTTCAAAACCTGACCCCTAAATAAGGGGGCTCATTATCCCACTCAATAAGACTGCTATTGCCTTCAGGGTCAGGATCAGAATACATAATGACATTCTGCAGTGGACAGGGGGAGGAGAGGAAACACAAACCCTGTGCAACTGAACTTGGATGGATTGGCTAACAAGCAGTCTGCAAGTTTTTGAGTCAATGTGTTGAGTTATAAATTATTTCACAAAGGGGAAACCAGTAAAAACTCACTACTTTGAACAAAAAGACTTCTTATTTTTGCAGCAGTTAGGAAGATTGCTATTTTAAAGGCTAGAACTCAGTGAGAGAGACAGCTAGTCCACCAATAATTAAGCACAGAAAGAATTTCCTAAGTTTGAGTATCTTTTATCAAATAAATTGGTCACTAATATAAGTAATACAATCTTATTTGGAAACATTTCAAATAAATTAGACAGAAGCAAGCAGATGGTAGTGATAGTAGGTGAAGAGATAGATAACATATGTGGCACTAGGAAAATGTTTTATAAAGAAGTTATGCCTAAAACAAAATGTTACCTTATCTAAAAATTGTCTTTCTTTAGTACCTAAAAGTAATCTATGATAGTCTAGATTAATTACTAAGTTACCCTACTTTTCCCCCTCCTTGTTATTTTGTACTTTTTCTGGGAATTTGAGAATATTTTTGCATTTCGTAATTTCTTAAAATATATAATTTTGACTCTTAGGCCCAAGACACATAAAGCTGTCTTCCTCGTATATGCCTTCATATGCACAGATGCTTACCTTGGGAATTTATAATGCACACTTACAAGAATTTTAATGTGAAGTTAACAGCACCTCAGTGATGGTTTACTTTTTAAATGATTATTCTCAGATAGTATGTATGTGATTCATGTGATTTTACTCAGAAAGCTGGTATCTGCTTCAGATAAAAAGGAAAAAAAAGACTTACATTACGCCAGTCTCACATTACATAAGTCTTCTTTTGTACTAGAAGACTACTTAATATCACCAGGCATTTCACTTGTAAAAGGATCTCAACAAACCAAGAGATATACTGCTTTCAATAAAAGCCAATGGTAAAAAAAAAGAAAATATTTTAAACTTTAGAAATAGAAAATTACTTGGATTTTTAAACATATCATGTGAATTACACAATTAAAGAATGAAATCCAAAATATACACATTTCATTGCCATTCACACATAATGTAGATGCAGCAGTTAGCTGACTGCATTTTATGGCAGTGATTTGGCATGGTATTTTTTCACAGTGTGTCCAGATGTTATATAAAGTTCTAAGCATGTATTAAAAATGTATACACACATATACATGTGTGCTTCCTGAAGGAAGGAATAACAATATCCTAAAAATGGCCTGCTATTTAGGCCATATGAAAGTTTACTATTTTTATAAAAATTCAAGTGATTGTAGTGAGTATTCATAAAATGTGTACTGCCTTATGGCTTTTTCAGGCTCACAACATAAATTTTCTGGATGATGTCCAAGTACATGTTGATACAGCTGTTGCCATAGCAAGGCACACTGAAGCATCTACTTCAGTTTCTACTAGCTGAGCATGGCTCTTTTCTTTAAATGAGTACCAATGGCATATTAATGAGTATCCACAATCAATATTGCCCCTAAAAACATCTAATTTAAACTATAAAAGTTTTAGGGAAGAAGGTAATTTCCAATTGCAAGACTAAATAATGAACTCACATAGTGTAAAACATTTTTGGGGCATATTTTTACTGCAGTAATGTTGGCTTACAGCATTGTGTATGATTCTGAGCTATAGGTTCATACCATTTCAGATGTCTGTTACCACACCACACTCCTAGTGCTTCTCCATAGTACACTGGGCCCCCTCTGAGTCTAGTAGCCTCAATTCATCAGTGAGATTGCTAGAGTTGTTTTGGTCTGTTTCATTGATTTGTTTCTTTCTGTTCCACATATGAGTGAAGTCATCTGGGATTTGTCTTTCTCATTTTATGGCAAGTTTCATCTGTTAATGCTGAATACTATTACAGTGCATATATACACCATATCTTCCTAAACCACTCCTATGTAAGCAGACATTTAGGTTGTTGGCTATTGTAAATAGTGCTGTGATGAATATAGGAATGCACATATCCCTTTGAATTTGTGTTTTCACATTCCTTGGGTAGATACCTTGAAGTGGAATTGTTGGTTTATATGGTATGTCAATTTTTTCATATTTTTAGAAACTTCTACACTGTTTTTCATAGGGGCAGAACCAGTCTACAGTCTCACCAACAGTGGGACTATATTTTTCTCTATAACCTCATGAAATAGACATCCTTTATTTTCTGTCTTTGGCAATACTTTATCTTGCTTTTAATTTTTTTTCTTTTATGTGTTTAAAAATGTGCTATGAGGAAGGAAGGAGATGGTGTAGTAATATACATCCTAAGAGATGTCAACCTATACCTCTAAATAATATACAGTTTATAAACCAATGCTATTTCACTGCAAACAAACAAACAAAAATTAAAAAGGTAAAGAGTTCAATATAGCGTAGTCCAACTCTACTCACATTCCAAATGATTTTGGTGGAATTCCAACTCTTATCTAATGCCATCATACAAAATTGAATCCACTTTTATTTTCTTAATCTTTCCTGCTACAATAAACTTTCCTCATCCAATAACATTGTTAGTAGAGTCAAGAGGCACTGAAATACTTTACAAGTAGTAGAACTATTCCCAGTTGAAAACTGGTGCCATAGACCATCAACTCCAATGAATCTCACACTTACAGCCTTTTTTGAGTGGGAGTATGCAGAGGGTTAGCCTATGCCAACTTCAGAACTGCATGTTGGATAGGAGGGTAGAGCAGATATTGGTGTCTTTATTTCAAAACTCTTATATCTAAGTCTCATCCATGCTTGATTGAGTGACAAGATCCTGATATTTGAGTTTTTTGTAATACATTTGGGGGCCTTGAGAGAAGAGGATGAATAGTTTTTCCATAAGGAGATGCAAATTGTGAGTAAAAAGTGAACTGTGGCAGGCTGTATTTTCTCCAAATGGCCATATGTTATGTAATATATTACACTGTATTTGTTATATTGTACTCTTATGTTACAGTTCAACGCCTTCATGCAGGGTGACACTGATACTCTATCAAGATTATTAGTTGCCCTTGAATCTGGGAAGGTCTGTTACTGTCGCTGAAGTGACAGAATGTGACTTCTATGGCTATATCACAAATAAAGACTATAGCTCATGACAAAGAAACAACAACAAAAAAACTTTGCTCACCAACCAAAGGAAGTACAACCTGCATTTAAATCCAATGCTAGCACTGTCTTCTCTGACAAATGCTGTATTTTTTCATTTATTAAGATTATGTACTATGCTTATATCTCCTTTATTATAAAACCAATAGAAAATTAGCTACTGTCTTAGAAACTTCTTGTTGGCAATGGTGTCTTATGTGATCGGGGCCATCACTATATATTGATATATCTCACAGTATTAGTTAATAATTGTTAGAGTATACCTTGCTTGTATAATGCAGTTGATTCAGAGGGACAGAACTGCTGGAAACAGACAACAACCAAAGCAGGTTTTCAACTGCTTTGGGGTCACACAGAAAAAGCAGGGGATTCTGCAGTTCAATGGGAATTTTGCAACTTCCCAATGCAGCTCAAAGGCTCAATTCTATCTTTTATATATGCAAAGTTCCACGTCCATCAACTATTCTTTGAAGGAAAAGTCATGGATCTTAAAATTGTTTATAATATGATTTGGAAAGCATTAGTTGATTTTTTTTAAACCAACTCATGCTAGCTGAGATCAAAAGCCAGCTGCATTGCAATTTTTTAGTAAATGAAGTGGTAATAATTTTATGTTAGGCATACTAGTCTCTGAATCAACTGTAATTTTTATTATATATAGTGATATTATATATTATATATAGTACCATATATAGTGATGACCTTGATCACATGGCACAAATAGATATTCTAGTCATTATAAATAGTGAAATAATGTATAGGTAGTTCATATACGGGTTTTAACAGCAGGTGTAAACTAAGTAAAATTTGTAAAATTTCTTAATTACCCTCGTGTTGGAATATTCATGTTCCTTGCAGACTTAATGACTTCCTCAAACTTCTCCATACTTTCTTCAATAGAACAGTTGATATTCTTCTTGCTAAAGGATTCAGATGCAGCGCCAAAAACTGATATTTCAGTGGCTCCGGCAGCAACCTGAAAAATACAATTTAAAGTCAAAATTTAGTAACAAAAATTTAAAAAGCAGATTAGCTATTTTATAACAATTATTCCACATACTCAAATACATAAATTGAACATAAATCTTAAAAAAAATAAAATAAGGCACATAGTTTATTTATGCATAGAAGAGCTGGGGTGCAGGGGGTGAGAGACATAGACCAGAGACAGAGTGGGGAGCAGAACAGATGGATCTACTGAAATACACTGCTGTGGGGAGCAGTGGGCGAGACAGGAGAGGTCTGCTGAGCCAGCTCCCTGGCTGGGGATGGAACTTGTGCTGCAGTGGCTGCAGATAGCTTCATAGTGCTGACACTTAACCGCTTGTGCCACAAGGGAGGACCTCTATTTTTTCATTTCCTAAATTACATGTTTACCCTAATTACAGGTAATACTAGTAGCCTTATAAAATCTCTGAATATCTATGGAAATATTTCTTGATTAATTATACTCTATTTTTAAATGACTTTTTTTCTAATTCACATAGATTTTGCCTAAAATTATCTTCTAATTTCACAGTCTAACTTATATAGGTCCATACTATGACAGGTACAACCATATCCCTATGTGTAATGCCTTTTCATCCTCTCATCAGCCTTTAATTAGGTTATCATTTTGAATTTACTTTTTCCTTTGCCCCTTTTATTATCTTTACCCCCTCCCAACTTCAGTGACTTTTCAAATACAGATTTCTCAATTTTCTAGATTAGGTTATAAAAGCAGTTATGGCAATGATTACCTTCACCAAGAGGAGGGAAATAAGTGACAAAAAGCTGACAATTGACAATTATATTCTATCAAGAAATGTTTAAGCCATGTTCTGTATTCCTTTTTTTAAAAAAAGAGGAAAGCACAAAATTTTGAAATGAATTTTATCAAAATAGATTAATGTATTTTTATGTTTAAAATGGAAAAACTGTATATGGAGCACTTTAGTCCTTAACAATACCATGGGACTGCTGATCTCCATGAACTAATACTAGTTATTTACAAATATTTATATAGGCTAACAAGTGAATTATATATGACAGTTTTAACTTTGCAAATATCTTCAAAACAATAAGAAGCAGGGGGCCTCCCTGGTGGCACAGGGGTTAAAGTCTCTGCACTATGAAGTTAATGCCAGTGACTGCAGCATGAGTTCAATCTCAGGCCAGGGAACTGACTCACATGGGCAGCAGACCTCTCCTGTCTGGCCCACTGCTCCCCTCAGCAGTGTATTTCAGTAAATCTGCCTGTTCTGCTCCCCACTCTGTCTCTGGTGAATCCTCTCACTCCCCCCACCCCACACACACACCTCATGTCTATACCCCAGTTTGTTTGTTTTTTTTTTAAAGATTTATTTTATACAAGCACTGGGTACAGTCAGAAGCGCGGGAGGGTAAGAGAATTCACCAGAGCCAGAGTGGGGAGCAGAATAGGCAGACTGACGAAATACACTGTTGAGGGGAGCAACGGGCACAGCAGGAGCGGTCTGCGCACCACGTGGGACCCTAGCTGGCCGGCCAGGGATCGCAGGGGCTGCGGGCAGCCCAGTGCTCAACTACTGCGCCACCAGGGAGGCCCTATACCCCAGTTCTTGAATGCATAACTGAATAAAAATTATCTTAAAAAAAAACAGTAAGAAGCATATCTATTTTAGAAAAATTAGAAGTATACTCACAGCACGATGAAAACCTTGAAGATTAGGAGTAAGGACGGGATATCGAACACCTGGGTATTGATGAATGCCTTTCATCACTTCAGTGTGATCAGCCATCTTCAATACATAATAGTTTCAATATTAATCAAGCATGCTTTTAGATTTTTAGGTAGCTAATAATTACATGAACAGTCATTCTATAAAGTTTGCAATTACAAAACTATGCCAATGTAACTAGCTAAAGGTTAAGTAGTTTTCAGTGTCATAAAAACATAACTAGATCTGGTTTAACTTATTTACATAAATAGGATCTGACTAGAGTGATTATAAATATTTCAGATTTCTGACTTGTTATTTTCACTTCACTGAAATTTATTCTTTCCATTTTATTTTCAAAGCCTCAAATACCCCTCGAATTGAGGAGCTTGAAAGATAATATTCCATGCATTTACTTTTGACGTGAAAATTGCATGTCCAAATAATTCTCAATGTATTTCTTAAACTATTGTAATGGATACATATTACCATGTAACTTATTAAAATTATAAATTATTTGGTTAACACAGATGTTTTAGTTTCATAATAGTCATAATATTTTATGCAATGCTATCATAGGGCTACTATATTTATAAAGTAAATTAATACAGGAAAAATTGACCCCTCCTACCAAACCACTATCTTATGACAAACTACAAAGTTTGAAATTTTTCTTTTTTCCCCTCCTTTTTTAATAGGAACATTTGATTTACAAACTGCATGTGATTTAGAGGTATAGAATCACACCCTTATGATGTATGTCACTACCCACCAAGGCACCCATAGTCCTCCACCACCATCCACTGGGTAGCCTCAGTTTAAATTAGAAATTTCAATTCAAAGTCTGTAAGTTAGCTTTTTAGAGCAGTAACAGTTGCTCAAACTCCATCATCACCATATGTAGAGATTGTGATTGACATAACCATGAGTATTGCATATAAGAATTGATATGAACAATGAAAATTAAACAAAATGACCACAAAGATAATTTTACAGATACAATAAACCAAAAATTTGTATCCTTAATTTGGGGAGGGAAAACTTATTTTTTCTCTATACATGTTGGTTTGTAGCAATAAGCATGTGTATTACCAATTTAAAAATGAAGCAAGTGTAAAGTATAATTGCTTTTCATAATCTAACCATACACTTGAAAACCATTAACATATTATTTACTCTTATTTACTGAATTAATTTAATACTGCCAATGTTTAAAATATAAAATGTATACCTGCTATTGACTGTCTTCCATCAGGCCTGTGGACACCTACACTTCCCTGTTTCATGAAACCCAAACACATTTACTTTTGTCTAACCTATCATTCTTGCTTACTTATTTTATAGAGATGAAATCCACTAATATCCACCCCACAGTTGCATCCTTTATCCAGACTATCATAATCATTTGCAATGCATAAAAGCAAGGTCTCTCATATTCTAAGCATATTTGACTCTAATACAGATTTTTATTGATCACCTATTAAGCCCAAAGCCCTGTGGTAAATACAAGTACAGGAATCTAAGGTCTTATACTGAATTATTTTTTGCAATACAGTTGAGGAGACAAAACAGATGCATACTAACAGTTCCCAACTCAAAGGAATAGTGGTTTGAACATAAAGGTAAAAATGGGAAAGCTCAGTATGATAATAGCCTAGGAAAACTTTAGAGAATATGGGATCAAAACTAGCTCCTTACTACTACATATTATAGATTTTTTTTAAAAATGGCCACAGAAATATTTCCTACACCCATCAAGATGTAGCCTCTATTTTCTGAGGCTAGTTTGTAAAAAAAATGATAATTTCATATGGCTTTCTCTATGAGGGAAGTCACTATGGGGAAATCAGCTGACATGCTCAGAGAAAACAAAACAGAAATTAGTTTATACAGAGAGGTCCTGTGAAGAGAAACCAATGACCACAGCCAGTATCACTCTACGTTTAACTGAAGGTGTCTTCACAACATTTTAGCCTCCAGTATCCCAACTACCCACCTGAGACCTCAGATAGAGTGGGCCAGACAAAACCTGCCCCCTGTTCAAATTCCAAACCTTAGATTCCATGAGCAGAGTAGGCATTTATTCATACACTAGTTCTTAGGTAGAAGTCAAAATATTTTATCTGGATAGAGGAGATTCTTGGTAACTCATCAGGGAATAGTTTATAAATGAAGACAAGAAGCTACCCACGGTTATCTTCTTGAGGTTAGGGCCATATATTATCCTAAATAATCGTAGTTTGTTGTGAAGGCAAGAGAGCCATGGAGAATGGGTGTAGAATACTGGGATAAAATAGTTTTAGAAACAATTAATCAAGAGGAACAAATGTAGTTTGGAAAAGAAAGACAAACTCAGGTGATTGTGAGAATCTAGTTTGGGGCAAGTTCTATTGTAAAGAAATGGCACAGGGAATAGACCACCCAAAGAAAAATTGAAAGAATTCAGTAGCTACTAAGTATAAGGAAGATGACTTAAACATGTAATATTCTATTTCATAGATTTTCTTAAAGATAATTAATGGTTGTGCATACTTCAGCAGTTCTTAATAACAACCATGAACTTTTCATGCCTGAAAACTTACTCTTCGTTACAAACAAATCATAATGAAAGTTTAGAACACTTATTCCTATTTTCAAGCAGGAAGATAAAGTTACTACTAGCTTTAGAGCATTGTAATCAAATCTAAAACAAAACTTTGACTGTTTACTATGATAACAGAAACGAATAAAGATTTGGATAAAGTATGACAGTGGATCACAAAGCGGCATAACAGGTACAAATTTAATATTCAAGATATATATGTATGTCATGTTAATCTGTAAGGAATTATTTCATTCTACATATAATTAAAAATAACTTGAATTCTTCTGAAGAAATTTATGTAATGCAAGAATTTACTAGATATATCAAATTAGAAAGTAATCACAGATGACAACTCCAAATCCCCAGATCATGAAAACTGTGAATTAATTATAAGCCAAAAAATCAGTATTTTCCCTTTGAAAATAGCCACATTATTAATGAAATAATATCCTGACTAAATTTAGTCAGTAAAAACAATTATGCAAAGTGCTTTAGGAAATTTTGCTAGTAAACAATTCTACTGAAATGAATAAAATTGAGCAGGGTTTAAGTAAAAGTATAAAATCCTTGCTCAGTGAAGTGATATGAGCTCCACGGTGACAAGTCAGTGCTTTTTCTTACCCTTTTGATTTATAGTTATTCTGATAATAGCTATAACTGGAGTGGGGGAAGTACCTCTGTATAGCCTACTGGACACCCATAAGGCATGAAGAAAAGCAGCCGTTATCTTCTACCCAGGAATCAAAATGACCTATGACAAGCCACAGGGACTCCCTACTGAAATATGGGCACATCTAATGCTCCCTTTCCTATGTATACACCCCCTGCCATGTTCTGCTGTTGCCCTTTTTCTTTTTTAAAAGAAAAAAGCATTCAAAAGCTCGGATAAGAGCAACTAAAATTGTGCCACAGTACCAACTTATTAAAAAAGAAGGGTGCTACCAACTTTTTGAACTATTAGATTCAAAGTTAATAACTACTTAATTAAATAAAATGTTGAGAAGGCTATAGTTGTTAGGCATCCTGATTTCAAACTACACTATAAAATCATGGTAATCAAAACTGTGGTTACTGGCACAATGGAACAGACTAGAGAAACCTGAATCAAATCCCAGCATATATGGTCAACTAATATTCAACAATGGAGCCAAGAACAGCCCATGTGGAAAGATACTTTAACAAATTGTGTGGCACTACTGGAGAAATACATGCATAAAAGTTAAATTAAACCACTCATCACTCACAAAAGTCTATTTAAAATGGGTTAAAGACTTAAAGACACTCACTGATACTGGTATTGACAATCAAATTTTGGACATGCAGAAATAACAGAAGTGAAAATCAACATTTAGGACTACATCTTGCCTATAGAAAGTTTGAAAACATTTGCAAACAACCTGCTAGATAAGCTGTATGTTTTTGTTTTTGTCTTTGTTTTAAAGATTTATTTATTTTTACAAGCACTGGGTACAGTCAGAAGCATGATAGGGTGAGAGAATTCACCAGAGACAGAGCGGAGAGCAGAACAGGCAGACCGATGAAATACACTGCTAAGGGGAGCAGCAGGCGTGGGAGGAGAGGTCTGTGCACCATGTGGGACCCTCGTCGATGGCCGGGGATCAAACCAGCACTACAGAAGCTACAGGCAGCTTCACAACCCAGTACTCAACCGCTGCGCCACCAGGGAGGCCCCTGTATTTTTTTTTTAAATATATTTTGGATAAGAATACCTTAACAAAAAGTCCACTTAAAAATGAGAAGGATTTGGAGGAAAAAGAGTAGCACAGGAAAACCCTGAACTCACCCCATTTCACAGACATACCAAATATACCCCTTCATATGAAAACTATTCCCAGAGCTGACTAGCAGGATAACTACAACACAGCCAAGCTGAGATGGGTAAGAGTCAATTACCCACTACAGGGAAGGACCTCATAAGCATTTAGCTTTTTCCAAAAGAACAAAAGGGGATTGTGTTCCATACTGGAAACCCCAACCCTTTGGGACTCTAACTGGAAAGACAAGTCCTTAAAACATCTTGCTTTGAAACACTAAGGGGCATCTGTCCCAGAAAGCCAAGTGGAAGTAGAGAACTGCAAAAGTCATTTTAAATGGCCCACATACAAACTCACAACACAATTCAGTGCAGATGCACGAGTCTGAATAGTGTCAGGACTGTGTGTAAAGATCATCCCTTTGCTGATCCTGTGTTGACTGTCATAATGGAGCAGGTCAGTTTAGTGTCTTTCTAGGGATGGAGAGCTTGGCAGGTTTTTTGTTTTTTGTTTTTTGCTGGCAAACATACCGGCATATACACAAAAGTGACTCTTCCCTCATGATTTGTTAAGACATGCAGGATAGAGCAGGCACCAGGCCAGAGGATGTCAACACCAAAGCTAAAGCAGAGGTCAAGCACACCCTTCATGCCCACCAGCAGCATACTTGATTCTTAGCACAGACCATCCACACAGGGGACATCTCTTGACAGCGAGGTTTG